AACCCAACCTACATTAAAAAGTCCCCTACAGAAACAAAGCCAATAAATAACCCCACCCCGACACAGGAAAATATAACTAGCCAAGCCTTCGAAGCAAGGATCAATAGCTTAGAAATTAAACTGGACAACTTCATAAATAAAATAATGACCTTATTAAATAATTTAAACTGAGAAAAAAAAAAAACAAAATAAAATAACACAAACCTACCGCAAAAATAGAATCCTATTAAATGACACACACCACAAACAATATTAACAATAACACAAACACACTAAAATTATGCTTCTGGAATGCCTGTGGAGCAGGAAACAAGACGAACGAAATTGAAGCCTTTATAGTCAAAGAAAAAATACAAATAATGATGGTCATTGAAACCAAGCTACACCCAAACTCAAAAGCCCTCAATTTTCCAGGATTCCATACTTACCACGCACGCAACCCTAACTCAAATAGAAAGGGCGGCACTGCCATAATAGTAAATAAAAACATAAGACACATGGCCCTAAGTCCCATTGAAACTGAATTTATTCAAAGCTCACCAATAGTCCTCATCCCATCAAGCGGTATTCGAGCAGACATGGTCATCATTGCCCCCGTATACTGTCCACCTACCTACAAATGGAGTCCAAGTCATTTCACCCAGATGTTTAATTACTTCAAGGAAGCACTGGGCGGAAAGTCTAAATTTATCTTGAGTGGGGACTGGAATGCCAAACATTCAAATTGGGGCAACTACCGCTCTTGCGAAAGAGGCAGACACCTACATGACAGTCTACAAAACTCAAGAAGCCTACAGACTCTAGCCACAGGCGAAGCAACCCATTATCCATTTGACAGCAGAAAGCAGCCTTCAGCACTTGACTTTGCCATCTACAAAGGATTTAGAAGGCAAAATCTTAAGATCACTGCCTCCCAAGACCTCAGCTCTGACCATGTTCCTCTTCAGCTTACTATTAACTTCAACAAAACAAACATCATGCAGGAAAAAACAAAAACTACAATAATCACAAAACAAACTAATATTCCTAAATTTAAAAAACTACTGGAAGACAAAATTCTACTAAATACAGACATTAAATCAGGACAGGACATAGAAGACTGCATCGATATATTAATGAGAAACATCAACAATTCAGCCAAGGAGGCAACCCCTCAAACCCACACGCAAAATAGAAACAACAACAGACACAAGGAAAACCCTAACCTAATAAAACTAGACGAAAAAACCCTTAACCTTCTTAACCAAAAACGAGAACTTAATAAAATATACAGAGCTACAGGAACAAAAGAAGCAAAAACATGGTTCAAAGCTGCTCAAAACAAACTGGCCAAAGAAATTAAAAAACTTAGGGAAAAAAACATAAATGACAAAATAAAAGATATTGACCCAACAGACAGATACAAAATGGAGAAGTTATGGAAGATGACGAACATAATTAAAAAACAAGAGCAACCCTGCTGGCCCTTAAAAAAGGAAATTGACCCAAGTAAGCCTACACCAGCCAGCCTCTGGACCAGGACTGCGGATGAAAAAGCCGAAGTCCTTGCACTTCACCTAGAATCCCGATTTACCCCGAACCTAAGGAACGAAATTACAGACAGAGAACAAATTAAAAAGGAATTAATGAACCACAAAACACTTAACGCAGCAATGACAAGAGCACAGAATTATAGCAACCTTAGGCCAGTCACATTAGCGGAGCTTAATACGCTAATTGATGCCCTAGAGACTAAAAAGGCCCCTGGACATGACAAAGTTGACAACAAACTGATTAAAACCCTACCAATAAAAGCCAGACTGTATCTCGTCCTTATTTACAATAGGATTCTACAAACAGGTCATTTTCCGAGCCAGTGGAAACATGCAACAATCACCATGATTCTCAAGCCAAAAAAGTCCCCTTCCTGTGCAAGCTCCTACAGACCCATAAGTCTTTTACCCTGCTTTTCCAAAATACTCGAAAAGATCCTAATGGTCAGGCTTTTCGAGACTGAATCCTTTGCTAAAGCCATTCCTCACCACCAGTTTGGCTTTAGAAAGGAACACAGTGCTGAACATCAACTAAGCAGGGTAACGCAATTTATTTTGAAGGCCTTTGAAGAGAAAGAGGTGTGCTCAGCAACCTTCGTTGATGTCTCAGAGGCATTTGACAGGGTCTGGCATGATGGACTCCTTGTCAAACTAGCTAAGCTTCTCCCTACCTGCATGTTCAATGTCCTAGAAAACTATCTGCTGAATAGAACATTCTCTGTAAAGCTAGGCAACGGAACTACATCTAAAACATGCAAAATAACAGCTGGAGTGCCCCAAGGAGGAAACCTAGCGCCCATACTATTCTCAGTTTTCACATCAGACATGCCGCTTCCAATCCCAATTAACCCCAGCTATGAAAGGTCTTTCCCAAACTACTTCCCTAAAAATATGCTACTTGCCACATACGCTGACGACACCGTCATCCTTAGTAGTGCCTCAACTGCAAATACAGCCACTGAGTTGAGCAACACATATCTAAGCAAATATTGTAGTTGGGCTAAACATTGGGACATCTCAATAAATGCGAAAAAAACGGGACACATACTATTTTCCTTAAGAGGAAAGGAAAACCCGTATACTACCCCACTTGTTGACGGACAAAGGACAAAGAAACAAAACAAGCAATGCTACTTGGGGGTTATATTGGATAAAAAACTTACTCTTAAACCTCATATTCTTCAATTAAGAGCAAAAATCTTCTCAAGCTACAAAAAATTGGAATGGTTACTAGGCAAAAAAAGCAAACTGCCTGACAACACCAAAACACTCCTCTTTAAACAAATAATATCGCCCATCTGGCACTACTCAATAGCTGTTTGGGGATCCTTAATATCAGAAACGAGCGCCAAACAAATTCAAACTGTAGAGAATAAACTAATAAGAAAATCTATTGGTGCATCTAGGTACACAAAACAATCCACTATCAGAGAAATCCACAACATTAATTCTTTCTCAGAAGTCTTTGCTCATTCTAGCCAAAGGTTTGCGATTTCAACAGTAAACCACAGAAATCCACTCATAAGAGACCTTATTCTAAAACCGTATATCCCTGAAAGGCTAGCGGCGAGCAGATCCAGATACCTAGACCAATACCAAAAACACCTGCTTCCAGCAAAAGCAAATATCCCTGAACCACAAATAGAGACCATTTACAATAGCACCTACGGTTACACGGAAGGGGAGGAAAAACAAATATTAAAAAAATTAAGGGAAAAATTTAGAAAAAGTCTACCTACATTACTGCGACTAACAGACGAGAGAGAGGAACTAGAAGAAAATGAAAAGGAGATCAAAAAGAAAAACGAGAAAAAAAGGGCATTAAAAGATAAACCCCCAGAGAGATGGTGTGAATTGCTTATAAATAAATATAATAAACTTTTTAGAGAGGGAAGAATAACACGAGAAGAACTACTGGACAAAATGGAAGGACAACCCCACGGCATCATAAGGATAATCATACCTGATTTCCAAACTCACATAGGACAACAAACCCTATACTATTCAACAAATTAAAAAAAAAAAAATAATAATAATAAAAGGGAGAGGGGTCAAAATAAAATACTGAAATGGGACTATAATCAACTCACCTGTTTCCCACAAGCACCTGCTCCTGCCATGGATGACTCCAAACTGTCCTGCTTTCTACGGGAAGACTCCAACTGCCTAGCAGCGCCATGATGCTGCTCTCATGGGTTCCACAATGGTTCTCTGCCCACACTGACGCGCCTGGCTGGATATGACTGCGAGGGAAAATAAAAAGCATAATTAAAAACACAATTAAAATAAATAAAATAAATAACAAATTCACCCGTCTGAACCAAGATTGGACTTCCGCCTGGTTTCCGGAACACACGACTGCGGCGCGGGAGATGGCTGCTAAAATAAAAATAATAACATAATTAAAACACACTCACAATAAATAAAATCAAAACAAAACACACTTACCAACCCCAACCACCCTCCGACTGCGGCGATGGAGATTCCATAAGGAAACACGGACGCGTAAACTAAATCAAAATTAAATTAATGCCAGAAATAAAGGGTCCTTGCCATAAACAGCTCTCCCAAATTAAGGGGTCCTTACTGCTCTTGACTCTCCTAAACTGGACCAAGAAATTGTTCGGCGCTCTCACTGGAGGTTCTGCAAACTGCAACTCTCCCAAAAAAGGGGTCCTTACCACAGTTCGCTCTCCCAAACTGAGCTATTATGAACACAAATAAAAATCAAGACACTTGGAATAATTAAGGGTCCCTATCAACCACAGCTCTCCCTCTGGGTCCTTGCTGTAAAGGTCGACTTTCCAAAATGCGAGACTTAAACAGAAACACAAAAAAATTGCTCACAGCAAAGGGTCCTTGCCATGTGCAGCTCTCCCAAAAAAGGGGTTCCTTGCAACTGACTCTCCTAAACTGGAGAAATACAATAAACACGACACATGATGCGCGATTAGGGGTCCTTATCAACCACAGCTCCCCATTGGGGATATTGTTACAAAGGCTGACTCTCCAAAAACGCAGAGGACACAATGGACCAAAACAGGACTATTGAAGTAACAGACAATGCACTCACCTGCAATACCTCATACGAATGTGGAACCTGATCTCCACAAGCACCTGTTACTGCCCTGAACGCTTCCTGGCCTATAGAGAAAATCCTGCGCTGTATGACTGAATTGCGCCCCCTTTTGACGATGATGCCGAAAGCTAAAGCGATGTAATCCTACAAGAACTTCTAGACATGACAGCGGCGAGGGATACCATCCATACAGACGCTCGGCTGCCTCAGCCAACGGACTCCTTACTGTCAGACGAGCCACTGAATCCAACATTGGCTTTTCTAAATCCAGCAAAGGTCGGCCTAGCTGGGTCGATCTTTTCCTGAGTTTCCTGACGACCGCGACAGTGGAGAGGGACGAAGCTACGACTGTGACGGCGGCGATGGAAGAACCTGCGATAAAACAAAATAAAAAATAAATAAATAATAATATTAAAGCTTAACATGCAATAAACAAAATTAAAACATATTCATACAAAACACAAATGCGATCCAGTATCCTCTAAAAATGTACGCTGCACCTGCAAAATAATAAAAATTAAAAAAAAATAACACATACTCAATCAACAAATTTAAATCAATTTAAATAAACACAAACTTATCTGACACAAAGATGATCCAGCTCCAGCAAAAGAGGAAAAAAAAGGGGATCTCTGCTGCGCCTGCAAAATAATAAAAATAAAATATTATAACACTTAATCAACAAATTTAAATTAAATATTACTTACCTACATTAAAGGGTCCTCTGGTTTCTGAAAAATCTGGGTCTTCTGCTACGGACGAACCTGCAAGAAACATAAATAAAATATTATTTTAAACTAAACGCGCATTAAACAAATTTAAAAACACAAATTTACATGACACAAAAGCGATCCAATACCAGCAAAAGAAATCTCCGCTGCGCCTGCGAAATAATAAAAATAAAAATTATAAACGCATACTAAATTAACAAATTAAATTTAAAAACTACTTACCTGCAATAAAGAGTCCTCCGGTATCCTAAAATCTGTGTCTGCCGCTACGGACGAACCTGCAAGAATTATAAATAAAATATTATTTTAAACAAAACGCGCATTAAACAAATTTAAAAAAAACACAAACTTACCCGACACAAAAGCGATCCAATACCAGCATAATAAATCTCCGCTGCACCTGCGAAACAATAAAAATAAAAATTATAAACACACACTAAAGTAACAAATTTAAATTAAAAAACTACTTACCTGCTATCCAAAAATCCGTGTCTGCAGATACGGACGAACCTGCGATAAATATAAATACAAAATCTTTTAAAGCTAAATGCACTATAAGCAAATTTAAAAACATAAACTTATCTGACACAAAAGCGATCCAGTACCAACAAAGAATAAAAAGAGATCCGCTGCGCCTGCGAAACAATAAAAATAAAAATTATAAACACATACTAAATTAACAAATTAAATTTAAAAACTACTAACCTGCATTAAAGAGTCCTTCGGTATCCTAAAAATATGTGTCTGCTACTACGGACGAACCTGCAAGAAATATAAATAAAATATTATTTAAAACTAAACGCGCAATAAACAAATTTAAAATCACAAACTTACCTGACACAAAAAGCGATCCAGTACCAGCAAAAGAAATCTCCGCTGCGCCTGCGAAATAATAAAAATAAAAATTATAAACGCATACTAAATTAACAAATTAAATTTAAAAACTACTTACCTGCATTAAAGAGTCCTCCGGTGTCCTAAAATCTGTGTCTGCTGCTACGAACGAACCTGCAAGAATTATAAATAAAATATTATTTAAAACTAAACGCGCATTAAACAAATTTAAAATCACAAACTTACCCGACACAAAAAGCGATCCAGTACCAGCAAAAGAAATCTCCGCTGCGCCTGCGAAATAATAAAAATAAAAAATCATAAACACACACTAAATCAACAAATTTAAATAAAAACTACTTACCTGTATTAAAGGGTCCTTTGGTATCCGTAAATCCGAGGCTGCTGCTACGGACGAACCTGCGAGAAATATAAATAAAAAATCTTTTAAAGCAAAATGCGTTATAAACAAATTTAAAAATATAAACTTATCTGACACAAAAGCCATCCAGTACGTGTAGCTACTATGTACTCGAATACCTCAGGACGCCGACAACTGACGCGAAGGAATCCTATAAGGATCTTGAGACAAGACAGCAGCGAGGGACACTTCCCACACAGACACACAGCTGTCTCAGCCAACAGATTCCTCTCTGGTCCAAGCTAAGACGTCTGTGGCGGGAGATTTACCCATCCTTTCTGGTCCTCCACAGTCCAGTTAGACGTGCCACTAAATCCAGCAACATCCCTACCCAAAGTCAGCTAAGGGCACCCTGGCTGGACGGATCTCTTCCTGTGACTCCAGACGACCGGACTGCGGAGAAAGATGAAGCTACGATTGAGACGGCTGCGAGGGACTAATCTGTGAGAAATAAAAATAAAAAAAATCTAATAAACAATAAACAAAACTAAAACATAATCATACCTGACACAAATGCGATCCAGAAACCGCTAACACTAAAACCAAATGCGCAATAAAAAACAAATTATTTAACCATTAAACTTAACTGACACAACTGCGAATCACCAGCAAAAAAATTCCCACTGCGCCTGCGAAACAATAAAAATAAAAAATATTAACACAGACTCAATCAACAAATATAAATTAAAAACTACTTACCTGAATTGAAGGGTATTGTTGGCATCCAAAACTAACCAAACTCCCGCAGGGCCTGCGTATAAACAAACCAAAATAATACGCAATAAACAAAATCCAAATATAAACACACCTGCCAACACTCAACCGCTGCGACTACAAAAACTTACCTACCACAAACGCATTGCGGATCCGGCCAAAAGTCTACTGAAGAGTGCTGAAAGAGATGCAAACAAAACAAAAAACTCACCTGCCACAATTGTTTTGCTTGCTATCAAATCATCCTGGAGCGATTGCGACGGCGGCTCTTACTAAATGACGGCGGCGGGGGAAGGACTGCGGCGGGGGAACTGACGGCGGCGGGGGAACCGACGGCGGCGGGGGAGGAGACCGCGGCGGGGGAGGACACGGCGGCGAGAAATCAGTCGGCGAGAAATATTACTGCGGGAAAAGAAAACACGCTTAAAATTACTATCACCAAAGTTTACAATAAATTACAGTGTGACCCTAAACTAAAAATCCCAAATGTAACCCAAAATATACTAACACATAATCTAGCTTTAAAACTTACAAAATAGCTAAAAACCAAAAATAGACATAATACACTAACACATAAAAATGCAATGTATATACTAGTTCCCGCCATTTAATGTACCTAAATATTACAAACATGTAATCAGAGGCCAATAAATATTACGACCAGGGGATGCTGATCAACAGTCTTCTCCTGAGTGTCGTTGAGTAAACTTGAAAAAAAAATCTTTTTTTCTTTCTTTCTTTCTAAAAGTGTGTTAAAATAATGTACAATAGCGGTTAGTATATTGGTCTCTTTTTTTCTTTCTTTCTTTCTAAAAGTGTGTTAAAATAATGTACAATAGCGGTTAGTATATTGGTCTCTTTTTTTCTTTCTTTCTTTCTAAAAGTGTGTTAAAATAATGTACAATAGCGGTTAGTATATTGGTCTCTTTTTTTTCTTTCTTTCTTTCTAAAAGTGTGTTAAAATAATGTACAATAGCGGTTAGTATATTGGTCTCTTTTTTTCTTCTTTCTTTCTAAAAGTGTGTTAAAATAATGTACAATAGCGGTTAGTATATTGGTCTCTTTTTTTTCTTTCTTTCTAAAAGTGTCTAAAAGTGTGTTAAAATAATGTACAATATTTTTTTTTTTTTTTTTTTTTTTTTTTTTTTTTTATTTTTTTTTTTTTTTTTTTTTTTTTTTTTTTTTTTTTTTCTAAAAGTGTGTGTTAAAATAATGTACAATAGCGGTTAGTATATTGGTCTCTTTTTTTCTTTCTTTCTTTCTAAAAGTGTGTTAAAATAATGTACAATAGCGGTTAGTATATTGGTCTCTTTTTTTCTTTCTTTCTTTCTAAAAGTGTGTTAAAATAATGTACAATAGCGGTTAGTATATTGGTCTCTTTTTTTCTTTCTTTCTTTCTAAAAGTGTGTTAAAATAATGTACAATAGCGGTTAGTATATTGGTCTCTTTTTTCTTTCTTTCTTTCTAAAAGTGTGTTAAAATAATGTACAATAGCGGTTAGTATATTGGTCTCTTTTTTTTTTCTTTCTTTCTAAAAGTGTGTTAAAATAATGTACAATAGCGGTTAGTATATTGGTCTCTTTTTTTCTTTCTTTCTTTCTAAAAGTGTGTTAAAATAATGTACAATAGCGGTTAGTATATTGGTCTCTTTTTTTCTTTCTTTCTTTCTAAAAGTGTGTTAAAATAATGTACAATAGCGGTTAGTATATTGGTCTCTTTTTTTCTTTCTTTCTTTCTAAAAGTGTGTTAAAATAATGTACAATAGCGGTTAGTATATTGGTCTCTTTTTTTCTTTCTTTCTTTCTAAAAGTGTGTTAAAATAATGTACAATAGCGGTTAGTATATTGGTCTCTTTTTTTCTTTCTTTCTTTCTAAAAGTGTGTTAAAATAATGTACAATAGCGGTTAGTATATTGGTCTCTTTTTTTTCTTTCTTTCTTTCTAAAAGTGTGTTAAAATAATGTACTTTTTTTTTTTTTTTTTTTTTTTTTTTTAAAAATTTTAAAAAAAAAAAAAAAAAAGGGGTTTATTATTTGGTTTTTTTTTTCTTTCTTTCTTTCTAAAAGTGTGTTAAAATAATGTACAATAGCGGTTAGTATATTGGTCTCTTTTTTTTTCTTTCTTCCTTTCTAAAAGTGTGTTAAAATAATGTACAATAGCGGTTAGTATATTGGTCTCTTTTTTTCTTTCTTTCTTTCTAAAAGTGTGTTAAAATAATGTACAATGTGTGTCAAATGTGTACAAAAGTATAGAACAACATTAGTATATATGAGTGTCTTTCTGTCTATTTACATGACCGTGTTTTGTTTTTACTATATACAGCGGCACCCTTTGCTTTACATGCAGCGCTTTCCTTTAGCCAGTGTACGCACCCGCCTTTAAAATTAATTTACAGCGCCTTTTTATGTGGGGAACGTTCATTATTAATTGTACAACATTGCCCTGTAGTGTACATTAATGGAAAACGTCTATACAATCTACATGAAGTGCACGGTTTTTTTATTTTATGTAGCGCTCCTTTTTTTCCGTTTACAGCGGTTACTTTACATTTTCTGTATACAGCGCCCTCTGTAATGTACGTGTACATTGCGCCCTCTCTACTGTTTGCAAGCACAGCGCTCTCTTTCCTTTTTCTGTACACAACAGCGTCTGTTTTTTATTTCTGTATACAACACGCCCTCTTTATTATTTCAGTAAACAAAACGCCATCTTTATTATTTGATTAAACAGCGCCCTCTTTATTATTTGTGTTTACAGCACCCTCCTTACTGTTTCTGTGAGCGCCCTCTTTAAATGTGAAGTATACAGCACCCTCTATAGTATTTAAGCGCCCGCTTTGGCGTTTCTGTATACAGCGTCATCTTTTGGTAAGTATGTGTATGGCGCCCCCCTTACTATTCCTCTACACAGCGTCATCTTTACTTTTTATCTACACAGCGCACTGTTTAGTAGTTGTGTATAGAGCGCCCTTTTCTCTTTTTTGTATACAGACTATTTATTATGGTTTGTGTAATGGCTTCATACGCAGCGCCCTATTTAGTATTTCTGTATACAGCGCCTTCTTTTGGTATGTATTTGTATGGCGCCCCGTTTACTATTTCTCTACATAGCGCCATCTCTACTTTTTACCTACACAGCGCACTCTTAAGTAGTTGCGTATAGAGCGCCCTCTTTTCTTTTTGTATACAGTCTATTTGTTATGGTTTGTGTAATGGCTTCATACGCAGCGTCCTGTTTAGTATTTTTGTATACAGCGCCTCCTTTTGGTAAGTATGTGTATGGCGCCCCCTTTACTACTTCTCTACACAGCGTCATTTTTACTTTTTACCTACACAGCGCACTCTTTAGTATTTGTGTATAGAGCGCCCTCTTTTCTTTTTTGTATACAGCCTATTTATTATGGTTTGTGTAATGGCTTCATACGCAGCGCCATGCTTAGTATTTCTGTATACAGCGCCTTCTTTTGGTAAGCATGTGCATGGCGTCCTCTTCACTTTTACTCTCTCAGCGTCATATTTACTTTTTATCTACAAAGCGCTTTCTTTGGTAGTTGTGTATAGAGCGCCTTCCATCTGTTTTCTGTATACAGCTCTTTTATTTTAATATATGTAATGGCATCATACGACATCTTTTATGGAAAAGCTGTTTATATATATGTCTTTTTCTTGTACAATTAACAAGCGGAGCTGATTACTCCTGCAAAAATGTTGCAAAATGGCGTAATTCTACTGGGGGGATACATAAAAGAGAGAGAGGAAAAAGTAAATATTAATTTAAAGTGGAATAATGTATGACAAGCAAACCACTGATAAACAAATATAAAATTCCATTCTAAAGCACAGATATATATATATATATTTATTTAACAACGTTTTAATTTTAAAATTAAAACATAAATATAATTTTTTGTTAAATATTTAATTAAAATCAGTTATAATATTTATAAGTATTTAAAGTATATATAAACTAATTTGGTTTATGTGTTATTTTTTTCTGTCCGGTGTAATCATATTAAGTCGCTATGCGTGCGAGAAAGAGATCACTATGTCAATGTCAATGTGTCTTAAAATGGCGTGCATTGTCAACACGGTAACATACGGTTATCTCTTTCTTGCATACATATCAAGCGTATCTAATTTCTTTCACAAATGTTATTAAAATTAACGGACTGTTGTAGGGGGTGGAGCCCCAATTCAGAACTACATTAAATACACAGCCAAAAAGAAGGTGTAACAAGCTAGTTGTTTCCGTACCACAAAATACAATCAACATACCTCTGTACATATATCAATATTTCTTTAAACTAGTAGTAACTCAATCAATAAACAAATGTAATATATTATTTTTAATTTAATATTATACTGAAATATTAATCAAATTTTTGTTGGCTTATTATTACAACAATTCATTTAATTCTACACTTGTTATACACTTTGTTTGTGTTTTGTACTTAGTTCTGGTTGCCATGATTGCAGAAGAGTGTGAGGAAAAAGCAAAACTAAATTTAAAATGAAAATAATGTATGACAAGCAAACCACTGATAAACAAATATATAATTTCATTCTAAAACACATATATATATTCTTATATTTAACAACGTTTCAATTTTAAAATTAAAACCTAAATATAATTTGTTACTAAATATTTAATTAAAATCAGTAATAGTATTTGTTTAGTATTTAAAGTATATATTAACTAATTTGGCTTATGTGTTACTTTTTTTTGGCCGGTGTAATCATTTCCAGTCGCTATGCGTGCGAGAAAGAGACCACTATGTCAATGTCATTGTGTCTTAAAATGGCGTGCATTGTCAACACGGCGGCATACAGTTGTCTCTTTCTTGCATACATACCAGGCTCAACTAATTTCTCTTACAAATGTTATTAAAATTAAAGGACTGTTTAAGGGGGTGGAACCCTAAATCGAGAGCTACATTAAATACACACCCAAAAAGGAAGTAGTACCAAGCAAGTCGTTTCCGAACCACAAAATACAATAAACATACCACTGTACAGATATCAATATTTCTTTAAACTAGTACTAACTCAATTAATAATCAAATGTATTATATTCTTTGTAA